TCCTCCTCCTCCTCCTCCTCCTCCTCCTCCTTCCCTCCATCCTCCTGCCCGCTTCGTCGTCGTCCTCCCCTGTCCTGCCCCCGCGCCGTCAAGGAAGTAATGATTGTGCCGAATATATAGATGGTCCGAGGCGCGGCCGGTGTGGAAGGGCCATCATTTGGCGGGAGCAGCACCCGCGCGCGCGCCGGGGTCGGGCCCAGAGATCGAGGGCCGAGGGCACCGCGACGGTCCCACCCTCAAGGCGGAGCTCACTATCCTGGCCGCGCCGGCCACCCTTCTCTCATCCTCTCTACTCCCACTCTAGCTCGCCGATAGGTCGCAAATATCTTAATACGGGGGGGGGGGGGGCGGCACAGGAGCTTCAGGGACGGGCAGCACCCCACCGGAAGGTCCGAGGTCCGTCCCGTCCCACGCGCGGTATGAGAAACAAAGAGCCGCCCGTCAGCAAGCGCACTATAAAGAATACGTCGTGATAAATCGCAGATCGCAGCTTTCCCATTTACTGCTGAACCCGCCGCCCCGGTCACAACGGCCAGCGGCGGCGGCGTCCAAATGACCTTTTCAATGCGCGGATCACCTCCGCGACCCCCGACGGACATATCACTTTTCCGAAATTGATGGCCTGCTGCCCGTCGGAATTGTCGTCAGCCGCGCTAATGTTTGGGCCCCTCTCTGGAAGTGATGAACCCCCCGAGCGGCGGCGCTGCCCTATCATAAATCCTCATCCCGTTCGCGAAGTATCTGTGCCGGCATCGTTAACGATAAGTTAATGACGCTTGAAATATGGAAGTTTACATCCATCACGCACAAATTCCATAAAACGGACTATGGCGACGGGGAGAGAGTTGTGAGTGTAGTGGGGGAGGGGGGGTGAAGGAAAGGGTATACTTTAAGAACTAAGGTTGGGGTACGACCGGACCAGAAACATCAACGTACGCAGCGTAAACAAATATAATGAGAGACTTACCATGACTGTATTTGGGTCTTGAGAAATGAAGTTAAAGATGCCGGATGGGCACGGTGATCTGCACGGGTCCGGTGGTTCCAGCCGTTTCTAACCTCACTTTCGCGTTCTGTCTCCGACGGTAGACGTACGGGTGAAGTCTTGTCACTAACGTAAACGTCTCTTCCGAGTCTCTTCCTATACCGGCTTTGGTTGTCTGTTGCTCACTGTGTTTTTCCTCGGTCGCAACACAACACAGTCGTAAAGTCTTCCTCCGCAAAGACGGCGGCACGGCCGATATGCCTGTCTCCTCGTGTCTCTGCCTGCCACTTGACCTGGCAGTGCCAGCCGGACTGCGGACCGGCGGGCGGCGGGCGGCGGGCCGTGCGGTGCTGTCTGGTGCTGTCCGCTGCAGCTCCGACCTCCGACTCCACCTCCCTCCTCCCTTGCGACTTTCTTTATCTTTACGCTGCGTGTGCGTCTGCTGTGTGGGCTGGACCGGTTACCGGTGACAAGAAAGGTTGAGCCAGGTTGAGCGGTGCTAAACTCACGCTACCCGACCTTCACGCGCAGTTATATCGAGATGAAATTTACGACGGGTTCCATGTGTTCCACTACAAAATGTATCGCCTCAAATTAAATTGGTCACTTCTTTCCGAGGGTTGGATCACTTGGAAATTCCATGTACACATCGTAAAATATTCCAAAAATATTCCAGATATTCCTAAAATACTCCTGCCGTTCCAGAATAAAGTTTTCTAGATATTCCACCAACATTTTTCCAGATATTCCAAGAATATTCCAGCATATTCCAAAAAAAAAGTCTAGATGTTCCAAAAGTGTTCCAGATATTCCATCATGTAAAACTCTGAGTGATGGAACCCTCGCTACTTTCTCTCGGAGCTTATGACCATTTTGGCCCAAACAGAAAAGACACAAAAAATGTATGTAAGGAGGTTAGAAACGCCTCGGTGAGAGGTGAGAGTCAACTCGGTGCAACCCATCTTCGTGTCCGCCGCGAAACCGGAAACGAGTGCGGACCGTTGGCGTGCGCTGTGCAATGTGCTCGCTACACCAGGGAACATGCATACGCAATTATTCGAGCGCCAAGTTTCGTCCGCGGTCCCCTACCTCTCCCTCACTACCTGCCTGCTGGCCAGGAGAGAGGGGGTGCGGTCGGAGGTGGAGAGAGTGAGAGCAATGCATTTTCCGAATATATTTTTTCCCCCTCACAGCCGCGGGGTATCGAAACAGATGAATGCACGTGAGTGCATGATTTCACAATCCATCCATAACGGCTGGTTCTCCTCCTAACTCTCCGCCCCACGCTCTCGTTCTGCCTCCACCTTCTCTCCCCTCCCACCGATAAACCTGTGCCGGCGTTATTTTTTCCACAGCAGGCGCCAGCTCTTACCCTAAGGGGACTTAATGTGCGTATATTTTTTCGGTGCGAAAGGTGGTGAGGAGGAGTGGGATATTTGTCTCCCTTTAAATAACTTTGTTGCGGAAGTTTACGCTGGCCTATGACGCTGCTTTTAGGAGATACTTTCAAGGGAACGTGGTATCCTTCTCGAGCGAGGGTAGCTCTTTGCGATGACAAGGCGAACCTCGGCTCCGGCACCTCTTAAACATTTCCCCTTTCATGTTCCGCTGTGAGCGCGGCAGCAGAAGGGTGCAGTGGTGCGTGGTTCGCGGCACTTCGGCCGCGGTTGCCGCGAGCCTTTTAAATAATCAATGATAATCAGACCACACCTCGGACCACACGGTAAATCTAAAAGTTTGAATGAAGTAAAAGTCAAAGAAAGAGTTTGTCGTTGTTGACCAGGCCATAACTGCGTGCTGCGTGATTGGGATTGGCGAAGCGAGGGGGGAGGGGGGGGGGGGGGGGGGTTGTCGCGGGCCACGGTCCACCTCCTGGAACCCTCGGCCGCGGGGGGTCGACCGATTTCTTCCTGCATCATTACGTGTTACGACGAACGCGATGTACGCGGCTGAACCGCAACAAAATTTGTCATTTGCGGGCGTGTGGTTGGTGCGGGGCGCGAGCACGCGGGCTTGACGATCTGTCAGCTATCCGAGCAATCTGCACTGCCGGCCGACGCATCACTCTCTACCCCCCGCCTCACGCCTCGCTCCCGGACACAACCGCAAACGCGAATAAATCTGTGTCTGTTCTGCTGGGCCGACGGGGCCGACGGGGCCGACGCCGGCGCCGGCACCACCCCGGGCGGGCGGTGCGGGCGGTGTGGGAGGATGTGACGGGCGTTGCCGTGGCGACGGCTCTCAGCACCCGCCGGAGCGGGGGCGGCGGGGGGCGGCAGTGCAACCACTCCCCTCACCTCACTGCACTCTCCCTCTCGCTCCCCGACTGCTGCACTCGGTAGCGCGGCCGGCCGGGAGCTGCACCCGACACGACGCTAACTAACTGGCCTGCTGTGAGTGTGTGTGTGTGTGTGGCCGCATGCCCCGGGGAACGTGTGGTGTGGTGGTCGTGGTCGGGGTCCCTGTAGGATCCGAGGGCCGAGGGGGATGGAAGGAGGTGGGTGGGGGAGGGAGTGTAAAAAGCTCGCCGGAGGCGATGCGCGGCGCGTCCGGGCGAACACTCGACGCGTGTGAGGCCCGCGGGGTCACCGCTGCTGTAGTCCTCCAGGGCGGGGGCCCCCGGGCGAATGATCACGACGACACGACACGTACTACACCGGCCGATCGGCGACGGCGTCGTGCTGCGGGGAGCTCCCCGCCGTTCAGCTCCCAGCAGCAGCACAGCCGCTGTCGCGCAGCCGCCGCCGCGGGCCGCGGACCGGAAGGCCGCCGCCCCCGTGGTACCCCCTGCTCCCCGGCCGGGCCCTCCGCTCGGCATCCATCATCATCAATGTCAGCGGTCGGTTATTGTCGTCATTGCCCTCATGTGAATCACTCCCCCCGTGAGCCCCCACCCCCAAC